ATTTTTATTTTACTTTTCTTACAACCAAATATACCATACGGGGTCGAAATTGCTGATAAACCATATCAATAACCCTACTGCGTCAATTTGACTGAAATTTTTTCCACGTACGATTTATTTAACCCACACGTATCCTACCGCGTAGTCCATAAATTGTATAAATAAACCGGATGTGGTAATATAATACGTATCTCCCAAGGGATACTTACCGCTATCGGAAAACAATGTCCAACCCCTTTGAAATCCTGAGTTATGATATCCACATCCTCAATAACTTTACCCCGAGGCTGAATACTCCTGCAGCGCTTGGCGTGTCCGGGGATGAACGGTCCATGTCTTCTGCTCCACCTACCCTTTGTTTCCATAAATCACTGCGCGCAGGATAGCGCTGCATAGTGCCAGCATGGTATATATATATATATATATATAGCACAGCTTCCCAAGAATGGGCAGGTGCTCGTGCACCCACTGTCACGCTTGGTGCACCCGTGCCCGCAACTATTCTGAGTTCTTCTCTGAACGTGCACAGCTTCCCAAGAATGGGCAGGTGTTCCATAAATCACTGCGCGCAGGATAGCGCTGCATAGTGCCAGCATGGTATATATATATATATATATATATAGCACAGCTTCCCAAGAATGGGCAGGTGCTCGTGCACCCACTGTCACGCTTGGTGCACCCGTGCCCGCAACTATTCTGAGTTCTTCTCTGAACGTTCTTTGGCTCTACCAAGAGTCCCACCTACTTCTTCGCCAGCATCTCTTTACGGTTTACCTCTCTCCTTTCCCTTTAAGTGCCTTTTTTCACCTGTGGTTTAATTCCTTTATTTTCACTCATTTCTTTACCCTTCACTTAGGCTACGCCTTTACTTTTCGGGGGCCCCAAGCGTAATTACCGCATCTTGCGGTTTGCTGGTGGTTCCCTCCGCAGGTGACTACAGGTGGTCCCTGAAAATGTAGACCTTGCATCCCGGCTATAACGTGGATTCCGGTATTGCACTTTATGATCGCTCTGTAGCGTATATTGCTTTTGTTTTTTCATTACAGTCCGAGTGTTTTCAAGAACCGCAGGAAAAGATTAAATTCTTGTATGGGATTTATGTCTTTTGTGGAATTTCCGTTATTTTCGTTCTCTTGGAAATCCTGAGAGGTCCATCCGTCCCCTGGGCGTTTGTATAGGATGAAACCTCATGGTGGTTACTTTTGACAAGTATAGTAACCCATAGGCACTGTGAATGGTTACTTTCAGTTTATAACTCTATGGTACTTTTAATTTTTTTAGTTTTTAATCGAGCTAGAACTGAACTTGTAAACGTAAAGTGTTCGAATTAAAAATTGTCTTTCATAGAAACTAAAGTCCAGACGCTATGGGGTCGTGGGTAGTGAATACAATTCGTATGAGTCATGGGGTTTCTGTATACGTCGACTTTTAATAGCGAAGTAAACGTTTTATAATGATGCTGCAGTATCTTTAGAACGCGTCACGTCCATTAGGCCGTCTTAGGCTGTCCTGGGTGCACCTGTATCGATAGGGTCCTGGGGACGGGCACGTGGGGGTGTGCGCTTTTAAAAGGGTTGGGATCGCGAACGTGCCGGACCCTCTAATTTGAACTTTCCGAAAAGGGTGGCCCTCGTCAAAGGTTAACCGCGATCAATACTACGAGACTGTTGAAGCTTCGTTACGGTCAGGATGAAATTCCTACCCTATGTATTAACGGTAATAAATTTGTATCTGGCAGCGGGTAATTTTGGAAAAGTTTAAGTAAGGCCACCTGCCCGTGCCTGTACACGGGTAATAGTTGCTGTTTTGCAAATTTGCCAATGCCGAACTCTTTCTTTTTTTTACATTTATTTTCCATAAAAGGTCACGCAAAAAATCCTGTACGATTATGTGGTCTCAATGGACGAAAAAAGGGGGACAATTTATCATCGCGCGGATATTTACAGCCGAGCCGTATGAATATTCAGTCGGGTTTATTTTACGTGCTCAGCCACTTCCTTATGTTCGCCTCGCGGACCGGGTCAAGGGTTAATGAAACTTGGTGGAAAAAAAAAAATGCAAATAAGTGTAGACTCTCCTGTACCGTATTGCGGTATCTGCCTTCTGCTATAACCGTATAAAACGCCGCTCGCATATTTTCATTAAAAAAAAAGAAATTAAAGCAGACGTGTGTATCCATACGAATCTACTCTTAAAATAAGGGAGATAAACAAGTAGACTGATACTTTCCCAGATTACAATTTGAAGGACGATAAAAAACTTTTTTGAGTAAAAAAATCATACCTAAAAATCTAATTCAAAAAATCCAAAAATATTTTGTAACTTTGAAATTTTCATGGACCAAGAATGTTTCTCCAAAAATTATTCTGTTCTTGCGTATCCATCGTGTATCATCTAAATAGATACTAACCCCCATAAAGAGCCAGCAGAGTTTCAACAGTAACTAATAGGAAATTCTTTGAAAATATACTCCAGTAAGGAGTAGGGTGTACACAGCATCCTCCGTGTAATCACATCGTTTAGATTAGATTTTCTAAGAAGATCTCGCGTCCCGATAATCCACCTCGTCCATTCGACCCATTCGAGGAAAGTCTTCCGTGACAGGAACACGACGTGTCGTCCCGTTTAATGGTGATTTACGCGCTGATGCCCTTCCACGTCACGGAACGTGGAAACGGGTGGAACGTAGGAACTAGAGAACCAGGCATAGTAGATGAACAGGTGTACATACGTAACACGGTAGTTCGAATCTCTCTAGGCTCACGAGCACCATATGGCTCCAGCTCCATAAGTCGATATATTAAACCCCCTTAAAAAAATGAAAATTGACTACACACCATATACAAAATAATTAATATAGTACGATAAAAATAATTTAAAAAAAATGAGACATCGCTCCAATCAAAATACCAAATTATATGATTAATCAAAATTTTTTTTAAAATTTACATTATCACAAATTTGCCAATCGGTTACCCATACTGCTTTGTATATACTATCTTCTAGTTATATGCGTCTGTTTGTTTTATTTACATTAACAGTACATAGAAGTAAAAATGAGATAGAGACGAAAGAGACTTTTATGAATATGTGAACGCATCCTCATATAATCAGTGATTTACGTGGCTAATAACGCTCGCGAAAATTTCCATAATGGCCTGCCGATAGTTAAATTTGCTTTGGCTCTCTGGCGCGGTTAATTTTATAATACAAAGTGATTTACGGTCATGTCGGGTTAGAGACGAATGCCGGCTCCATCCACAAGGTAGGTTGCCATGTAGGGCTTCGCTATACGTACCGGTGCATAGTTAATTACGTTACATTGTTTTAATTTCTACCTGTATATTTTATTATCGATTCCCCACTCAATTTATAGGCGGCACGTACATCAGTTATGGCGATTCCCTCATAAACGTTAAAGGATGCAACCACATTTTAAACCACCCATTAACGGACCTAAGTGAACAGGATTTTTTGCTATAAAAATTTAAAAATTAGCAAATCACAATAATAATCGCTACTAGCTACATACGAAGATACAAGATACTCAACTGTTATCCCGTATGGGGTAAATTTAAATTACTTTATGAATCTCCAATTCGTTAATGACGACACACGTGTATATATCGATCCTCACGTACGTTCCATACCTCACGCCATTTATATGGCTACGAATTATCGTAACGGTAATTTTCTTCTGCGTGGTCCAGGCTCGATGAATAAAATAAAAAATAATCTCTCAGACGTTCGACCGTGGATTAATGAGTTATACTAATTAGCTATAACTATCGATCCGAAAAACACAGAGAGAGATCTCTCAACGAGCAGTGAATTATTATTAAAATTATACTTTGGAATCACGGCCTTGATTTCTCGTCATTAAAGCACGCATTTACTTTATTAAAACGATTACGCACTTGCTTATACGGGTAGCGAGATACGCAAGGGGACGCTGGTACGGTCGCGTTGGCTCTGACTCGTTGCTTTACAACGCATTTATTGTTCAATTAAAATTAATAAAGGTACGTACGTCCTGGATCAAGGTCTCCGAGTATCTCTTCGGTGGTTACTAGAAACTATAAACCTTTTTGTATATGCATATTCATACGTATCATAAAATATTATATATATATATATATATATACATATATATGCTAAGGAGAGCCTTCTGTTTCTTATCCCATTTGAACGTAGTCGAAGAAAGTTACTGGATATAACCGTTGGTTAACCGTGTTTTCGAACAACATTCCAAAGATCCCAGAGAATATTGGTCACGCAATGTTCGAGACTTCGGCGAACATTCGCTTCTAAACTGTGCCTGACGAGTTCATTTTCCCACGCACGAATGACTGAACTCGTACGATCTGAGCCGCATGGAAGATGCTATGGGGTATCTGCTACTTTCGAGCAAATTTAAGTCACGATTAATAATCACCATACCGGCCCGATTATTACCATAATAATGACGATCGTATAACGCGAGCAGTAAAAGCGTAGCTGTAAAAATTTTGCGAACCCCCCTCCCTCCCCTCCGCCCCACTGAACTTTACTTATATCTGTGTGGAATTGTACGTGGGGATCATCTACGTCATATGTAGATACGTATTATCCTACGTATGTATATGAATTTTAGTATATTCAGAAGGTCTTGTGGTTTTGGTTGGACGCCGGACCCTTTCCAAATTTAACGCTTGAATTTCGTACGAGCTATTAATTATATTGCGCAATTAAGATAACTGCGGGGTGAACTGTACGACCGCGAAAAATTTACTGGTAGAAGGTTGTAACGTTTGCAAAAAAAATCGACGAGCTTTTTATTTCAGGCTTAGCATATATAGGTCTTTGCGATTACTCTGGTATTGGATCTAGTCATGCTGTATGCTGTTGGTTATATAACCATTGTTTTTAGAATTATCGCGAAGGCACTTTTTAGGACGATTTTTATATCTTTGAACGTGATGTATTGTTAGCTGTAATTGACTGTACTTTTTATGTTACAGGTGAATGTGGGAGTTGAGTGCGATTCGATGCGAAACAATGAACGAGTCGTGAAGATTAATTTCATACGATCGTGAATTGGTAAATATTTATATGGTGTCAATATTATTTTTTAATCGGTTAGAATTTTTCTTCTTTTTCTGAATCTTTATATTTAAGCAATATGGGTATTGGGATTTGGGAAAATTCAATTTAAATATATATATATATTTGTCAGAGATTAACAAAATTTATATCTAATTGGAAATATATTTCTTTCGTTTTTTTTTTCATATTCCAGTAAGTCAGACAATTCTCCACGTAGCACGTCGTTACTCTCTCGTATCGTCCCACGATCCATAGGATCACGATCAAATCGTAGAAGCCGTCGATCCGTAACCGATAAAGAAAGAAGCAATCGACGAAACACGATCATCCTTGAGAGCTGTAAAAATACCTATAGGTAATCGATTTCGAGTAAGTCAAAGACGTCAGAAGACGACTAAGGAATCTTCCAGCTGGTACAACTTTGCTCGATGAAAGAGAGAAGAAAAAAAGTATACGAAGTCAACGCATGAAAGAAGGAAGGAGACAGAACGAAAGAGATATGTATATGGGCCTAAGGGTTAAAAGGGGGGTCAGGGGGTGTCCCCCGTGGAAGTCCGTGGTAATACGCTTTTTTTCGAGCAAGCATAATTTTCAGCATTGGTTTTTTCGTTCGTGGGGCCCGAGCCATAAATAAATGTTGTTTTTACGGCTGCCAAATTGGGCATTTAAAGTACATTGAGTTTTACTGGCCCGAACTCCTCTACGCGGTGATCGCGCCGACGCAAAAGTTTCGGCCGCTCGTATTTCTCGTCGCGACGTCTCGCGTCTCGAAATTAGACGACCAATTGCAGCATAAAGGCGCCTCTACTTTGAAATCATTTGTGGATTCGAAAAGCCAAGACAAGAAAATTGGCATTTTCGTTTTCAGCCAGTGGTACCTTTGAACAGGAGGGTAGCAATTTTTATCTATGATATAATACGGTACTGGTTAACCCATAGGAAGACTGATGCACGGGACTGAATTTTCGTGATAATTCGTAATATAGGTTGCGAGTGAAATTTCGAAGATAAAGATTCTCCGAATGAACGTGACTCTTGGGCTATTTAATAGTGAAAAATTTTTCGTCCCATTCATAGCGATCGTTATCCACAGTGGCAATAGCGGGTTCCTATCGTAAGTGGATGGCACCGTTAACGACACCTAATAAATCCTAGGAATTATTATCAGTCGCCAGGGCGTTACGTTCCATACGAAAAATTTAACGAGAAATTTTTAACGTTGTTATCTGCATTTTTATTGGCTGTTGACTTCGCTCGATGGATAGTCATCTTGAGAACGTTAATGGTCTCGAAGAAAGGGCATAAACCTGTCATTATCTTCTCGTCATTCGATAACCCAAATGGGAATATCATATATAGATTACATATTGACGGATAGGCATTCTACGAATCTCAATGGTTTATCGAGAATCATTTTTCTCCTTAATATTCAATAGACAATTAAAACCTCCTACACTAATCATTATAAATAACAGTGCCAGAAATTCCAATAGGTAATTCATACACCATACCTTTATTGCATTTCCCGTAGTTTAACCCAATAAATAATACCGTAGATTCTCTATGGTCCAGAATATTTTCCCCAGTTATTCTTGCTCACGTGGTTTAATCCTTCACGGTTTAGAAGAAGCAACATACCAAGTAGCCCCCGCTCGTCTCCCACGGGAAGTCCACTTTGAAAAAGTCTAATAGGTTCCAGGCATTCGTGGCATTCGTGGTTTACCGTGCTTCGAACTCGTTGATGTTCTTCGGATGAAAGGTAATCGTTCCACCCGAGGCGTTCGAGCCGTACGATCTTTCTAAAAGGCGCACGCTCCGCCACGCTCCAGCATCCCCACCCACGTAAAGCTACGTTCACATTCTGAGATAGTTTGGAATTCTTGTGCGGTGGATCCAAAACAGAAAAAGCTACAAGAACTGAATAATCGATGATGGCTCTCCCAGGTTACGTAACGACTGGATCGAACGATAGAATGAAATTTCAGATGGATACGACGAAAATACATGATTTCAGTATTTGGGATCACGCTCCCTCGTATCTTCAGTGTACAGAGACCGATCGCTCAAGGGATCAGATAATTTCGACGGGCGTAACGATTTAAGAAAAATGTGAAACCACCTTAAGAGATCAAGACAGGAAAGACCAACACGGGACTAATTTGGACTCTGGTTTTCTTGGTTCAGGCTGAATATATTTCTTTCAGTCGTCTCGCCCTAAGGGCGACCATTACGTTTGCTCTAATGTTCACCCCCTTGATTTTAATGTCCCTCCACGGGTCTACCTTTAACGATTCTTCATTTTCATCAGCGGCAACTGTATGGTTGGTTTTATACCATGCGCATGTGTATATATATATATATATATACCTATAGCGTTCCTTTACTCTGGTTCATTAGCGACAAGTTCTGTTTCGCGAAATGCACTTTGAGGTCGCTGCTAAGAATGCGCCTTGAGGTCTTTCCGTAATTCAGCCTCGTTTGCACGGTGTAGCAGTAAATGCCAATCAGACTGGATTTATTGTATTTTGTTTGTTTATCTTCAAATTGTTCCTAACGCGTTAGAAACTCGATCAAATCGTTAAGCATTGGAAAGAGCAACGGGCTATGTGAAAACCAGGATACGACGGCCTCCTTTATTAGTAATTTATCGACGTTAATAAAACGGGTCTCGTAAAGTCTTGGAATTGCGTAAACAGGACAAATTTAACGCATCGAATAAATGACAACCTTCGCAATTACAGTTTAAACATTGCAGTTTAAAGCCCCGTCAACCTCTGGCGGTACGCCACTGTCATTTCTTTCACCTTGTCGCCGACGCTCTCTGTGTACTCGGCTTAATCACTGATTTCCGTATTCAGAGATCGCTCGCGGAGAACCCGAAGCCATTGGCGAAGGTGCGTGTCTGCTTGGGATTCTCGATCGAGGGTCGAGAGCCGGTCGTTACGACTTCACGCTGACTTTTGCACGCACCGCCATAAGGCGCACCATGATCCTTCCCCATGGGTCCTGCTCGAGAGCACCATAGCCTCGGAAACGGGTGAATGTTGCAAGCTGTATGAGAGAAACGTAAAATCAGCCTGAAGCCTAGACGTTCAAATTGGCCTAGGATTGCTTCTAGGTTTGAGCAAGGATCCATGAGATCGCGTGATCCATGAGACGATGATCGCTTATTCTTACTTGGTATCGTGTTGGTTCAAAATTAGACAATTATATATTTTACAATACAAGCATGCATATATGCATTCGCATGGGTTTGTGCAAAAATACATTTTTAATCTATCGCCCACTCTTGTCACTTCGTATATCATAGATTTTATACTATTCGTAATACAAAAATTTTACGTCTAATTTCTCATTTAAATTTCTATTCAAAGTTACCTGCGTAGACAGACTCCTGATTCCATGGCAGGAAACTGTCTTTCCCTGGTTACCTGATATTTTCACTCAGCGGGTGGTCGTACACGTAAACTGCTCGAAGGCATCATTTTACTTAGGATACTAATCTCGCATACCTTTTCCGCATGGAAATGCTTAGCAAATTTTTATCTCTCGTCATCTCGGCTCAGGTGGCGTCTCGTAGGATTAACCGCAAGGAAAGTCGTGCTGACATCAGGCACGTGTCTCAGGCTGTGATAACGGTACTGTTTTTTCATGATTTTTGAAAATTTTCCCATTTTCTCAAGCCTGTACGTCATTTTTGGTAATCGAAAAAATAAAAAAAAATTTAATACATAAAAAAAGGTTTGTCGTAAAAGACAAAACGATTCAGGGCGCTTATTTATTTTGCAAAAATATACGACACCTGCCTTGTACTTTACGATGGGCTCCATCAAGCAATTTATTTTCTAGTAGTAATGATCTTTCCCGCATACAGGGTATTATCAATTAGAACATTTATGTCGTCTATAAAATTATAACAAACGAGGGCATATAACATAGTCGATACAGGTAGTAAGTAAAAGCCATCTGACGAGAACCGGTATTAATTAAAATTTGTTAAACATTATCGGATTAATTTCAGGCTTAAAAATTATTGTGAACTGATTCTCACCTGTCCCATTATAATTGACCGATGTTAAATTGTGTATGGGAGCATTGAGAATTATGCTAATGGCAGGTAGAAACATATATGAGCGCGAGTTTATTGATTGGACACGGTAAGATGTTTTTTAGGTTTGCAGTCGTACGCGGTGTGCGTGTAAAACGAGTGTATGTATTTAGAATTTTAATGGTGATATTGGGGCATCTACATTTTTTTTTCAACAATTAAGAGCAATCACGCAAATCGTGGCTGACTTAAACAATTACCAGCCTAATTGCGTGTAATTGATGATCTCGTGAATAGCAAGGTGAGGTGGGGAGTTTTTGAAAATTTTAGAAATTGCTCCGGCGCCCCTGGCCAAATCCCAAACGGAGCGATCGGCCAGCAGAAGAGGCCCTCGAAGTCCTGACCGGCGCAATTATCCAAGGACGATGGAGAAGACTGCGGCAGGTGATGCACCCGAGAGAACGTATTAGCAGAAATCCTGATTTCTTCCCGTCGAGACGGAGAAACGTGGATGGTAAAAAAAAAAGGTGGGGCGGGTTGAAGAGAGTAAGAAAAAGAAAAAAGTCAAAACGTCTAGACGGTTGCTCTAGGATTCGAATGTATGAGAATACGAAGCTGTTGAAATAACAGGTGATGGCGAAATATAAGAATTTAGCGAGGATCAAAGAAAACGAGAGCGTCTTGTCAAGGACACGTGGAGGCTGGTAAAAAGATGACGAAAACGTTTGCGAAGCATCGAATCGATCTACGGAATGGTACGTGCGTTCGTGTTTCATTGGATTCGATACGTGGATCACTGAAATTTTTCTTCAATGGAGTCCCTATTAAAATTCCAATATCGCAGGGGAGCGCGAATCAAAATAAAAACTCCCGGCGGCTCCCCTTGGCGTTCGCCATCGACATTACCACTCGTGGCACTTTGAAGGTTCTTCAAGTTCCTCAAGTTCTCCAGTGGCAGATGCCAGATCATTGGAATTGATCGAAACTGCCTTATCCTCGGTCCAAGGATCAATTCACGGTAAAATGTCTGGCTGGAGTGATACGTATCTGGTCATAAGGGTGGAACAGGAGAAAAGTCTTGAGACAAAAAAAAAAGTGAAAATCAGGGAATGAAAGTAAAATCCTATTCGGTCCCGAGCTTGTGAATTGTTATTACGAGAACGCAAGTGACTTAGAAGTGGCAGGTAGCTCTTAGAATTCTGCTCCGGAACTAGGGTGTTATGGCTGGTTCGCGTGTTGTGCTTTTCTCACCGAGTATTTGCTGATATTCCGCGCGGCATTAGCAAAGTCCCCCAGGGGCTGTAAGATGGTCGTAGGCTCCGTGGTAGAAGACTTTTTTGAATATTTTCTTCCTGGACCCCATATAAGACTCTCGCACCTGCCACCCGCTGGACGGGTCTCAGACTTGGAGTCCGTATGCGGTCAAGGACTAGAGAAATAGTTGGCCAATTTTTTCGTCCCGGTCCCGACTAATTTGTTTCGCGGGCCAAGCGTCCTGTCATCTCCAGGACAATACGTTTTTTCTCATATCCCATATTCCATATGCGAGCATAATATATATGTATATACAAAGGGTACATCTCCCCTGTTACGGTGTTTTGTCTCCTTTGTAAAGACACTGTGAGACCACCATAAATAGAGGGGGATCAGAATCCCTGGGCTTTTCTTCTGGACAGGATCAAGGTATGCTTCTCATTCTGTTCCGAGACGTAGATGCCCTAGCCTAGCCCTTTTGCACTTTATATCCAATCAGAATTTTTTTTCTCCCCATTCCCGCAGGAATTTCATAATTGCCTCCCGCGAGAATGCCCACGGGCCGCTAACTTCCTCTAGGCTTCCCTTCGCTCCTCCCGTTTGTGCGATCGTATTTCCAGGAGAATGCTTAGCCTTCTCCCTCCACCCCAGCCCCATCCTCAGGACCCCTCTGGACCAAATTTACGGCCCCGCGTCTCGGCTAAGGGAATTTCTGGTCCACGAGAGCGGTTAGAACGTTAGAAGTTGGTACGCCTGTGTTTCAACGAAACTTCACCCCACGCGTATCGTGTAGCACGGGATTATATTTGCTGCTCTCGATCCGAGTAGACGAGGCCCAAGTCTTAGCTCGTAAGGCCCCGTCAGGCCCTCGGAGAAATGGATAGAGAGAGAAAGAAAGAGTGAGCTAATACGTGCGACTGAGAGGGATAAACCCCCCGGGTGAAACGGCTCTTCTAGTAGACACGTTCCGGCGTAGGCACGTTTTTAATTACGACAACAAAACCAGAAACCACAACAAAACCATTGGAATACGTTATTATTCGAGTGATTGCATCGGCATATACCGGGACGTAGGTGCCTCCATATCCATGCACTTTTACTATAAAGAAAATTCCATCCTTTTTACATTTTATCCCTGTCTACCCCCTTTCTTTCTTGTTCTCATGAAAGCGTAGGCTGAAACGAATCGTAATCCCATGCACGATATGCGTCCACATACGTTATATCCATTATTAACGAAATTCAGTACGGCGATGAGAAACGTTACTTTCACGTATTTCTTATCAGCACCAAATGTAATTACCAACATAGTTAGCGATAGCCATTTGAAGAATTGGAATATTCATGAAAATGCCTTGAATCTTGCTCAATAAATTAAAAAGAAACAACAAGCTTCACGTACGAATAAGATTTCCCGTAATACGAGACACATAGTTATACACAGTGCACAAATAAAGAATAAAACTCCAGGATAGACCGAAACCTCGCCAGGGCCACACACCCGCTGGGAGACGACGCCCAGGTCGTCTCCCGCGGCGTCGGGACGCCTCGAAACGCCTTTCCTCGTCACGCGGAAATAGTTCTCGCGCACCAGGAGACGCTAAGTAAAGTCCAACAACGAGGCGCGTGCCTCTCCGAGTTGTCCACGTGTTACACGTTCCTCCTGTATTTTTGGTTCTCGCACACTATGAATAGACCTTTAAGACGCGATTCCTAATTCACAGTCACACTTACGATTACAGTGAGTTACACCTTCCTCTTTCTATTATTTCTATTCAATCTCTCGGTATTATTTTTTTTATCGCCACCTTTATTCCCATCTTTCGTTCCGTCCGAAAACAACAAAGTCACTCCACAAGTCTTTTTTACTATATCCAATGATTGTCATTCTAACCATAGTTATATATACTTAATTTCGAACCCTTTCCTTGTTACTGCCTTGAGGCACCTTCATACTTGCTACTTAAGCTTCGATTCGATCCCGTCCATTTCGTCTCGTATTATAACGAGGAGACGCATGAACGTCTATTAATCATGACTGGGTTGGGAAGCAGTCATTAATATTGAGGCAGGGTCACCTGTGCGAGCTGTATCTCTTTATAAATGATCAACTTCGGTGCCTTCGTGTCACTTCGGGCGACTATATTTTATTGTTCCTCCTGTCATTACAGATACGAAGACATGCCGAAGTCTTGAGATTGTTATGAGATTCTGAATAATTTTCTATCTCCGTCTCGGGCGTTCATGGTCACTCTGTCTTATACGTTTTTTATCCGAGACTTAATGACATTTGGATTGAATATTTTATTCACGGCTTTAAGGCTCCGTGCCCTACGGTTAATCTGATTCGTATGAGGGTCTGATGAACTTTATGCATAGTTATTATTTTATGTGAACAAATTGAACACGGGGTACATGTATATATATTGTATATGGACCGGTTGGTGGTTCAATCAATTTCTTTGATCGTTTCAAAGAGCCCTTTTGTTTTATCATTCTTTACCCTACCTTACCCAACCTACCTGTCCGGACTGCCTACATTGCCTATTACTGAGGTATAATATGGTTCTGGTTCTCTGGCACGCGTAACGCTCCCCACTGTATATCCAGGTAGACAGTGCATTAATGGGGACTGGATTTTCTTATCTATTCATCGTGAAATGAAATTACTTATTAATAGTTATAATTAGCAATGGGATTTACATCGTGGGGAATTAACCGGTATCGTTTTAGTTACGGGCACGTAGTAAGGGGTATATTATTTCCTTGATTATAATTATATCAGCTAATCGTGGATTCTTACCGTATAATTAAATCGGTTGGATTAATACAGCCGAGGTATTAGATATTTAATCGATCGATGGATCGGCTGAAAAATATATTTTTTAGCTTGACAATAATTTATTAAATGGAATTCCCACGATTTTACTCAGCTACAAATCGTCATTAGACATTATATTAATAATCCCTTTGGCGCTGCGTACTCTTTAAACTCGGGCGGTTTACATGCGGCGTGTTAGATTAATCGGCGGCGGACGCAGCGAGATTAATTTTCGAATTAAAAACACAGCATGACGCGCTCTCGGTTGGGTCCTATATAAATTATCAGCGAAATTGGACCAGATGGGAATGAGTGGTATAAAGAAAAAGTTAATAAATCGAATAAATTACTTTGTTACTTTTGAGCTGCACGAATCGAGATCGCAAGTGAGAATGAAATAAAGAGCATGGGAGACCCTGGCTTCTTTTTTTTTTTTCATCGAGATCAAAAGTCGCGTAACAAATATTTAAGGTTAAGCGAAGAAACGTTATCTACGTAAGGATTTTATAAATTATGGAACCGTACGAAAAATATTACTCGGTCGACACAATAATTCGTAACTTTCCATCGAAATATAATACTCCAATATTTTTGGTTCGCGATCAACATTTTTCGAAACCGACAAGCCCACGCTTTAATGTATCGGAATTTTGTCTGTATCCTTGCCCACGCATTCCGCTCCATGTCATGCCATGCTAAGTTGATATAGGTACACCAGCTGTTCTCCTGACTCGTCTACTCCCACAATATTAAATGCTAATCAATGCGGTATGTATATTTATATCTAATTAAGAAATGGACAGTAGTATATAGGTCCGATGTAATCCGATCTAGTTATTAACTTTCAATATCGCCACGCGGTATAATTTTACGTGCGTATAAAAAAAAATGAAAACATTTTTAAAAGTGTCACTCCACTTTGATATCTCGTATCGATCGATCGATAGATCATCCATACGTCCGAGTAGCTGTATATTTTTCAAATAAAAATATATCTCAGATGGTCAAGTCATGATTTATCTGGACACCCCGTAGTGATTCTGGCACCTATCCCGTAATATCCTTCGAACGAATTAAGGTCGTTGCGCCTTTCGGTTTTTGTCACGGGCCACGTTACGCGTCCGTGAAAATTCTTGTTTTTCACACGGCTCAACGGCCAATGACGTGTGTACCGGAGAGTACTAATACAGCGGTACCAAGTGTGCCGGACGAAATTCTTTGAACGCCATGTCCGATCGAGTTAAACTAACGACATGGCTACCTGAGGACTAGCTGAGAGATTGTAGCAAAGAAAAATGATGTGAAATAACTTTAGCTGCTGTAATTAGGCGTATCAGTGTTTCACTGATGAGGCGACTAATGGTCATTGTCGTTAAGGAGTCTAGTAGTAATCGGGAACTAGTATCAAATTAGTAGAGGTGTACGATAAGCCTACAAAAATGGAGCACCTATACGGTCTCCCTTAACAATTTTATATATTATACATGTTACGTGAGAAACAGACCAAGGACGTCATTTGATAATGGTACAATCTAAATTATATTTCATATATGGAATAAAAATACGATTGTATACCTATATATATGAATTATGGATATACGTATATAAAAATAAAAAATAAATAATTTTCTATTACCAATCGCTAATCGTTAGCTATAACGTGGTATTAATTGTTCTTACAGACAATAATAAATTGCAGTAGAAAATATTAGTGTCGATTATAACCTGCAATAACGTGCAGTAAAAGATCTAGATATCAAACGGGCTGTCAATATTGATAATTGATACAGACTGTATTATTCTGTATTTTTCTAGCGCGCGAATCGCATGATCTATATGATCCATATTTAAAAACCTATGACACAAATAAACGCTGTTCAATATACGAGTGTTCGATTCCGCGACGGCACGTTGAATCGTACAAGAACGAAGTACAAAGTTGAAATTTCCATTGCAAAATAGCCAATTTGCGCGTACACGAAGTAAATTCTGTTGGAAGGTAGATAAAGAAATAAATGAAAATAAATGAAATAAAAAACTTCGATTTCTTCGCACTTCACTTTCAGTTAATTACGCCGACGTTCTCTGCCTTGTCCACTGATATCACATCGGATCGCAATAAGTTTTGCGTGCTACGTGACCGCAATCTGTTGCGTGTATACGCACGTGTTACTGCCTATACAGCGGTGGGCGTAACTTTGTCCAGGTATATCCTTGTTTGTTAGCCGCGAGGCGTACCTTAATTATTTCAAAGGTCGATTGCAATTATTCATAGGACATGTAATCGTTAAGTAGTTATATAGTAGAAATGCAGAAAAAAAACGAAAGAATAAAAAAAAACGTTTTTCAAACAACATAGTCTTCTCAGCCGACTGTCCCGGGTGTACATATAGCGTATTTATACATGCAACGTACAAGCCGATATAAAAGTAATGTTCTTTGAAGATACACTAATCGTTTTGCCTTTATTTTCTCTTTATTATCAAAGTTAACGACGGACACGTGTAGCCACGATCGGGCTCATTATCCCGCGGGATGGACACCTCGTTAATTGAGCTTACCATTAGGAATCGGCACAGGATCCTTCGAACCGATCCCGATGATGGTGGGCATCGGTAAAGGGACCATACTTGTAAAACGTATCATCGAATCGGCAACCATCGTTCAAGTCCGGCTTTCGATCGTTTTTCACTCTATTTCTTTCTCCCTTGTTTTTTATTCCTCCCTTTAGAAGCTCCTTCAATTCCACACTGGCTTACTCTTATCCCGATATCTTTCTGTATCGATGGCTTCCAGGTGGTCAGGTTCTTTCTCCCACATGGACCGTGCTACATCATCGAAGTTCTCCGTAGCGTGGGCGATGCTCACTGTTACTACCATCGGTATCATCATCGTCACCATCACAACCGCCAGCATGAACTACCCTATCGATCTGAGATTCCAGACTGAGCATTTCGGAGCATCATTCTCTGGGTGGTCTTCTGTGCCACTGAGAAATGAATCATTACGACACCGAGAAAGAATGTTACTTCATGATAGTTTCTATATGTAAGATTTTTATACGTAACAGTAAGTACTGGAGTCTTATGATATTTTTTATCCATGTAGAAATGTAGAAATGTAGAAATCCAAAGTTACCTTGGTCTTACTTTGGGAATAGATCTTCTTTTTCACTTTAAAGACAGGTACTTTCGTAAGGACTCGTGGTACTTTTATTATGCTTGCTGTGTACATTGGGTAATTGTGGTTTGGACGATTCACAAATACATTCGCCATGCCGTCACGTGCCCTTACAGTCCTTAAACAATGTCCTCAGCTGCGTCGCTGATCCATGACGGAATTCGCTGTTTGCGGATCGCGGCAGATGGCTGGAAATTGTCGAAATCAATAGCAATCAGGTATAATTATCGGAGGGGGGAAAATGCTTGAGGAACAATGCCGCATCTTCATGGGGCGACACAAACCTAACCAGTCTTGTAACTTTTTCGAATTCCAGTGCCGTGTGTTTCGGGGGACGAATTGAATCGATGTCCTTTTGATGATCTTCAAGTTGCATCCTACAGCTTAGTCATTCTCACCACCTACCGGTGTAATGGAAAATTTAGGTTAATCACTTACTTATGTAAGGATCATATAACGTGCTATATAATTCTTAACGTTGAGAACTTATTATAAATTGTAATTATTTGTCGGTTTATGTAAGATAATTTAATTTCAATAATAATTTTGCACTTTTTATATGCTATATGGAAATTTTATTATGCAGTTTCAATTGACCTAATTTCACATTGAAAAAAATGAATATGAATTATTAAATTATGTACACACGCATGATAGTTTTTTTAGCATCTTCATACGTTTTGGAAAGTTTTGAAAACCTTTCGGAATCATCGAAGAAATATAAATCGACTAAATTCTCTTTCGCGCTTGGCTCCTAATTAAATTAGACTCTCGCTGATAGATTTCAATCAGGACTGTAGCCTCGTGTACCTACCTATACCTAGTAGCATGTTGTTCCCAGTACACAATATATGTATACCTTACTACTATACTACATATATAAATATATATATGTAGAGGTCGATCTACACGCCCCTAAAATTTAACGAGCTACCGGCTGGCCGTCTGCTCCCAGGCTCCCGCATGTCATCCAGTCTCCTTCTCTCTGCAATTAATTAGCCATGCTCTTCTCGGCAGGCCCTTCTTCTGCGTAATTCAATCTAGTTCAGAGTGCGGCCTCTGCGGGTGATGCGTGATGCGTGATGCCTTTCTGTACTCCCGGTTGCGCAGCCTCTTCCAGACTAGCTTTAGACAGTGTCTGATGCTACGGGTCTGTCCACCTTTACACCGGAGGTAGCCTTGCGGACGGAACCAGCTCGAAAAGGACGTTCGCGTGACTCCTTGAGGTAGATATAGGTTCGGGGCAATTCCGTCCAGAGACAGAAACAACCTGGATTTGGTTACCGCGAGGGCGAAATTTGATGACCGGATGCTAATTTCGTGGGGCTGGACCGTAGAATTAATTGAGTGTGTCCCAGGTTGAGGCGTGGGGATAATTTCTCATGATTCCTTTTTTTTTTCACTGCTCGAAATTACATCGTTGGATTAATTGGTCTATTTTTCTTGTTTACGAATAGATTGGATATGGCGATTGTAAATTTTGGGTTTGGATCATTTTTCAAAATTTTTCGTACTATTGCAGTGTTTATAGGTATGGTTTCCAGATACAAAAAACTTGGAGCAATAATAAGGGTAAGTCCTGGTTGATGGGTACCAGCTGGCAAAAAGGTATTTATTGCCCGTTGCGCCATTTTACGGTTTCTTAATTCCTTAGCCCAGGCGCAGCCATCTATACCTTTGAATCGACAGAATCTCAAGGATGCCGACGGGCAGTCATTGGATGCAATCCTTTGACCGGATGGATTCACACTGCAGTAAACGTCATTTTACAATGGTCCAGGTATTGGTACCATATTGCGCTTCCGTTGCAGTAAGTCCTTCTTTGTGGTCCCGAGAAGAGCGCCTGGAATACACAGGGGTTCCTGTAATGGTCGCCATATAAGAATCCTGACGATCCTCCGGAGGACCTTTGCCGAGAGACGAACCGGGTCCGTTAAACTGGGCCTTAGGAGCGATTAACAGGGGCCGTTCGCAGTGCCATAATCGGACAGGATCGGTCCAAAGTTTCTCCATCCAAGGAGTCGCGAGCACCGCAGCCAATGCCGGTTTTCTTAAACCGGCAACTTTTTTTGGGTCCTTAGATCGGCGCCCATGAATCCGATCAATAATTATTTAGCCTGAACCACCGAGTCCTGGTCCAGGTAACCGATAAAGGACAATTAGGTACACGTTAAGGATTGGGTGATCTATAAAAAGGCCAAAGATATTTCGCGTACGAAATTCTTACCAAAACCAGTTTCCTGTCAAAGATTCTTGAGCGATCGATAATTAAAAAAATAATCTTTCTAAATTCCACCAACGAATTAATTTCGTCGCCACCCCATGTAGCTTACGATAAACCAAAGTAAACTACACAGAGGCATTCTCCAGTCAGAAGATTCATTAGTACAGGGATGATCCCCAATGTCCGATCCAGCTACCGTAAGCCCGTCAACCCTCTAGCGAACTAATGATTCCGTCAATATCTTAAAACCGATCACGTGTACTCTCGATCCAGCGAGTCTCTAACGACTAAATTATACAAGAACTCATCGGATCCACTGAACAATTTTAATGGAACCGCATAAGGCATACCTCTTACGGAATCATTTACCGATAGGCATTCGTCGTCAGACAGCAGCTACCGTAACGGCAAGTATTTCAAAGCCGACAAAGGCACCCGAATGGCGCCTATCAACACGTTTTAGCGGTTTTATACGGTCTGTTTTAAAACAAAGCCTACGAAACGTTTTTATAGCGCCGAGGGCTAATGCCAAACGGCTCTAAATATTTCGGTCTCGGACAGCAGCAAAAATCCCTATACCTATTTCCCACACGCTCTTGCGGCCTCCTCTTCACTCGTGAACCACAAAGTTCCTACGCCCGATCCTTAAGCCTGTTCCTTGTGCAGCACGACACCCGAGGACACGCCGACGGATACTTGATTTAAGAATTCCACAAAGCCAGTATCAACCTACTTCGAATTCAGCTCTCATCCTTTATACGTTATACTACAGACCGAACCTCGTCCTCGTACCTTCGAAATGTCCCTATGCAAGAAATAAGACATTATCGTAGACGGTATCGAGACTCGTATAACTTATCCAGTGTGTCTTACGTTGGCACGCATGTATTCCCGACCAAGTGCACGCAACTTCGACTGCACGCAATCGGCTGGAACGCCTACAGAAGTAAAACACTTATCGTACCAGAAATCGGTTATGTTGCTGCTCACCGCGTTCCTGCTCCGAGGAAGTTCGAGCATGGCTACTACTTCTTCTTCTCGTAAGTACTTTTTCTTCTTCTCGAGATAAGTACATTTTCTGCCGATAGAAATGGAACTCGCGTCGATTCCTTCACCGGGATTCTTGGTAACAGCAGGAAGGTATGTGGTACCGTGAGAAATAGATTTCTCGCCTTTACCTCATATTTCCAACGGTGTTGCTGTAAGCTTGGAAAAATTCGGACTATTTCGTCACAAGGTATATATTCGATTTTTATGGGCCTCGTGTTCCCTGGCTACACTGTATGACACCCTCGAGTCTCTTGCAACACGTACGCGTATAGCCTGATGGTCAGTTTCGTAGCTCACTCAACGATAAAAGTACGGTTGATTATTTGTGGCTGAGCACCGCGGCACAATGCGATTTCAATTTTATTATGCCAGCTGCAAGAGATAACTGCAGTCTGCGGTCGTAACTCACGCGGTGTCTTTTAACCTGTCTTCACGGTGAAACTGTGTCAAATTACTCGATTGGCTGCTCAGATTCGTTATTCCTTCTTCGATCAATGACGACTCGATAATAACGTGTTTCTCTTTGGGATCTTTATATCTTTTTTATTTTTACTTTTTTTTTCGGTATGTTTAACCGTTGCAAAATTTTTACAGGGAAGTACGGCATTAATTTTTTTAATACATCATTCAATTTGACTTGAGAAAAGTAGGGCTGATATTTATTATATTATTGTACGATGATAATATGGAATATTCATTGTCATATGTGGATCATATTTTTGTTTATTAAAGCAATTACATAAATTTTATTATATTATTTAATAGTCATGTAATGCCGTACGAGGAACAATTAAAAGCGTAATACGGACATTAATGAATAATCAATATGCCCGAAAGGTTCCTTTTGCTGGACGAAATTACTTTTCTACATGTCCTCGGGAGACCTCGCGTCTTCTGAGTTAATAACTTCGCATTATATTAATGGAAGAACCAATCTGCCATTTATTGCCTTTCGGCAGGTGCCGTTTTTGCGGGGGTCCACATATTGGAAAAGCTTTCTGCAATGCGTATCAGAGAATTATCATCATTCGAAATATCATACTCTCGATACCTGATAAATATCAAGTCACAATTCACTCTCGATAATTTATCTACAATAAACACTCGATTTATGCTGTACGGTTTATCACGTAATAAAAACCACGTGGTAAATTTTTAATCGAACTTATAATTAATTACGTATCACATACTGAGAATCATACTGTAACCCATTATGCAACCCTGAGAAATTTCCATCGATCAATCAGCCCTCTTTGATGTCATCTGGCACAGCCACGCCCAACTATCCTGGACCATTACTCATTATTGCCAATTATCTGTCCCTTCTAATAAAATTAGTATTCCCTGTGGTGGTAGTTTAATTACTTATTAACCTCAGTTCGAAGGGTGGGTCCGGCTTCTGGACTTTTATTTAGGAAAATTTTGAACAATGATACTGGTCATTTAAGCTGCGATGGTCACAGGGCAGTTTGGGGATGAAAAATAACGTACTTCGTTCTATCGTGACGTGTGGAATTGTTTATCGTCATAAAATCAGTCTACTGCACTGCCTACTACCCCCTTAGTGCTTATATGGCTACGTGCATGCATATATACATATACATACGCTCAAGTTATCCCGCTTATCGTGGCACTATGGTAAAGTTTATGGTGTTTCTATGGTGGGGCCACTACGTTATTTACATAATGGTCAGTCAAACAAACATTATTCAGACGCACCCTTTCCAATTATCGAAGGTGTCTCTCTTAAGAAGGTTCGGGACACTCGAAACCC